TATTGGTAATGATACACTAAGAGAATATTGATTTACTTAAATAATGGAGATTAAGTTACTTCAGCCTTGACGAGTCTCATTCAATAATCACCAAGAAAATTGCTCACTCATTCATTCATTCATTCAACTGCTCTTATTCTGTTTTTTTTTCAAAGAAGTTGGCGGGTAAAATGAAGGAAGTAGAATAATATGGAGTGATCACCAGCGTGAACAATAGTTGATCTACTCTCAGCGGTTTCTTAGCAGCAAGACAATCTCCGTAATAATAATTAGCTTCTGGGCAATTTCTTCTAAGACAAGCTATCTGATGAATTTTTTTAACCTATTTTTTAATCAAAACTACGCATACTAGTTTTAGTGAAGGCTGCTTTAAGTCGTTTTAAGATTACCAAGTATGCAAGCAAAAAAAGAAAACAAGATTTTTGAACCAGTTCGACAAAAATACGGGTTGGAGAAAGCATGCTACTCTTAAAACCTTCCTCAATTTTCACTTTTTCAAATTTTGAACCATATTTCATCGTGACATAATTTTTGTTGGCTTAAATGTTCTAGCATGTTCAGCAAATTACAGTTATTGTTTTATTATTTGTAAGTTATTCTACTGATGTTTTCATGGCGAACAAATCAAAAATAACTTGAATAAGCTTGCAGCAAAAAGTTACAGCAGCGACGATAGATTTTTAAAATGTGCAAGAACTTCAACCGAAAAACAGAATTCAGCATTGTTCACGAATCGAGCACACAAGAAATTTGTTTTTGAGTCCACCACATTCGCAAGGACAGAGTAAGGCTGCAAGCCTGTTTACCGTTGGCACTTCAAAGCAATTCAGAGGAAGAGTATCTTTATTTTTTGCTGTTGGTCAATGTTTTAATTTGAGTTGGAAAAATGATAAATTTTGAAGACCAAAACAAAAAATTTAGAAAACAAGGAAGCGTAGTTCATGCAAGAAAATAGTTTCACGATATCAAAAAGTATCTCCAAAAATTCATTGATGTTTTTCATGTTATCTTATAAGGTTCATTTTTTTGTTTCTACCTTCATAGCTTTGTTCTTTTGCGCTTTTTTGACTCACTTTAATTCACAGAAAGTGCGGATGTGAATATTTAATCCCGTTGTGAGAAAGTTTAGATCCTTCAATTCAGCAGTTCAAAAACGGAAATCATTTCCGGCCTCAATAATTTTCTTGGCCAAAATATTGAGCGCACTAGGTTTACTTTATTTATCCTCAAACGATTCTTCATGTTATGCATGTACACGCCACACTCATAAGAAGGCGATAAAACTTTTACTTAATGTTTTTCTGTCCAGTTTTGTGAATAAAATGTAACCAAAAATTAAAAGAAATTATTGTTGCGCAAGTTTTCATTGGCTTTAATTTTTTTTTGATTCTGACTTTTCAAAAAAAATCATATCTTAAAAAATTGCTGTGTTTAACGTTTCAGCTACTTGGGTCGAAATTTTTTTAAAAAAGTTTTGTCCACACGCTGTTGATGAACTGTTAAAAATTTTGCATGTTGTTTATCAAGTTTTTTACAAGCTTTGATAAAACTAACTATTTTTTATGTATAATTATTTTCAGATTTAATATTGCAATAAATGATAAATTGTTAATTTAGGAAAACAAAATTTCTCAATAGCCAGCGAAAAGCTGTTTTTCAGCAACCATGATCATGCATCAGCAACCAATAATCCTGGTTTAAGAGTTTAAAAAATGTTCAAGTTGTATCAGTGAATAAGAATAAGAAATCGGCAGTTATGATAAATTCATAAATGTTGCATAACTTTTTTTGAAGAATAAATCTGCAGCTTGAGCCGAAAGAGATTTTATCAAGCTTTTAAAACTTTTTTTTGATCTTCTTGTTTTCGAAACAAATGAAATAGTGTTCAACTGGTGTCTTCGCATTTAGAAAAAATTACGCTATTGGCTTTAATTACAAAAAACTCTATTTTTTGAAAATTTTATCAAAATTTGTGTGCTTTGAAATGATACCTCTATAATTTTTTTTAAAATAGTCAAAATCTGCTGAAAAGATATTCAAACTGCGTAATAATTTCTTACATTCTACAGGCAAGTGTGATTGAAACAACGAGAATATCATGTTGCTACGCAAAACAAACAGGTTTAGGTCGGTGATTTTTTGAAAAACCATTCTGGCTATACTATATCATATTTTTTGAACTTTTGTTGCTTCGTTCAACGTTAAGAGAATACCATGATTTAAGAAAAACAAAAAGAACATGTTTTGGATTGATGAAGAGCTCCAATGAAAAAGCTGCCAATTATATTCGTTTTTCAAACATGTTAGTTGGCGGATCGTGTTTCGTAAATTGAAAAAATTATTTAATTGTTGAAAAAAAATCGAACAGATATGACGGGAGAAAGTTAGACTGGAATATGCGAAACTCGGGCCTGTGTTTCTCGACTGAAAACACTTGGCTTTTCGACCGTTCCTTCCTTCCACGGCTTTTTTGTGTTTGATTTTTGATTGCATCGTACAATTGTCATGAAAATCAGTCTGCGATGTTCTTGGGATTCAGCTTTATAAAAATTAATTGCTACGATTTGAAATTGATTTTCATGCCGGGTAAGCGGGCAAAAAGAAGAGTCTAAATAATCTCTTTTGAATCGGAAGTACGATTAAATACCACATTCGTACCCCGCCATTTTTTGATGCACTTGGTTACAGTAAACCTTATTCCGATCTGCTTCTTACGCTGTGATAATTGTCGGAACCTGGAAAAAACCTTGAAATTGCTGAAATATTGAATATCATTACAACGCTTGCTATTCGCAAGCGTAATGATAACTGTTGAATTCAAATAGATATCATCCCGTACCCAGTAAATTTTCTAAAACAGATCTGAAATAATCTTTTTCAGATCTAAATTTCAGATCTGAAATAGGTTGTGAAATGTTTAAATAACGCTTGGATACTTTAAGGATGGGCTATTTCAGATCTAATTTCAGGTCTGAAGTTTTCTTTTTCTTGGTTATTTCAGATCTGAAAAAATCTATTTCAGATATAATTTCAGATCTGAAATTTAGTTTTTTTTTGGTTATTTCAGATCTAAAAAAATCAATGATTCGGACTCAATTTTTGCTCTTTTTGATTTTTTAAGCTTAAGTATATACTATCAGGTGTCACAGCCAGGGCGGATCTAGGATTTTCTCAAGGGGGGTGCAGATTTTCAACATTTTTTTTGAAAAAATTGTCGACTTTTCTTTGGTTGATAAAATAGGTTTTTCGAACCCTCCCAGAAGACTACAAAGACCCTATTTTGACAAAAATATTTGCAATGCAAACAAGTTTTATAGAAAAAAAAACAGGTCAAAAATGCTGTTTTTAGAAAAAGGCGCTGTTAGAAAAAATTTAGGCTTGGTCGGTCGAAAATGGATGTCATAAAATAATACCAAAGGGGACCCTGTAGTCGCACACAGCTATCATTTTCTAATGAACATTTTTGCTTCTTCAGGCCTTTTGTCTAACTTTTTGTTTGATCACCTATTAATTCGTGACAAAGCGGCTTTCTGACAGATGGACAAGAAATAAGAGTAGTTTTCTTTTCAAATTTTGGGGTTTCTAGGTGAGGATTCCAATAAATTGTGCACGGAGCTTTTAATTTTTGTGTAAAAGACAGCTGGAACTATTTCCCTTTGAATAAACTCGCACAAAAGTAATTAACAGTAAAGTTGTAAGTAAGGCAGTTTTCTTTGATCTAATTTACTTCTGTTGAGAAACACTTCATCTTGAGCCAACCAGAAGCCATGGCCTTTTGCCCAATCCGTGACCATAATTCATCCAAGTTTATTGTCAACTGTTTTTTATTGCTATAACAAAGACTGCTTGTTCAGACGAGGCCATAAGTACTTCAAAACCCGATTGTTTTTTTTTTTCAAGTACTATGTTAGAGGGCGAAGAGTGTTTATAATTTCTTAAAAATGAGAATTGTTTTTCAGTAAAATCTTCAAAAAGTTCTCCCACACGTAATGTCAAAAATTAAAGGATACAGGATTCGAGCGTCAAGGGGAAGACCTGAAATTCCCAACAATTTGTATTTTAAAAAAAAGAAAAACAAAAAATTAAAAGTGCCAACTACAAGTTGCATATAGTTGTTTGAACAATTTAGACAACCTCAATTCGATTAGCAACAATTTTGATAGCGGAGAGATAAATGAATTTGATGTTTTTTAATTAATAAAATGCCCTAGGGTAAGCGTTATATTTGGATGAAAGCGTTATATATGGATAAAAAAAACTAAATTTTGGGCCTGAAGGAAAAGCGACATTAAAAAAACCAGCCATCGCGTATGTCATTGGAATGAACTCTCGTTGCTTCTGACGCCAAATAAACTAGTTTTGTCGAAACTAGTTAAAAACTAGCTAAATTTTGATTTATTTTTGAACGTTAAATGACTGTCAGTGATAAATTTAATGAAACCTATTGGCGTCACAGAAACTGACATTTTGCATCCATCTCTTAAATCTTAATTTACACTTTGGAGACCATTATCTTCTGGTAACTTTTTTTCTCTTTGACGTGTGTCACTTCAAAGTCTAAATGAACACCAGTATTGAATGAACATCAGTGAGAACAACATTGAAGAGATTAGTTCAATGTTTTATTTCATTTCATTTTTTTCGCAAATGACTCTGAATAAACAATCTCTTAACCTTTTTTCATTTTTTTTTGTAAAAATAAAACTCTTTTAATTGATGCATATCGCTTTAGCTTGTTAATACGCATCAAAAAGCACTGCTAAATAATATCCATATTTTTTAAAATAGTTTTTCCTTGCATCTTCACTTCTTCTATTGTTTTTTAATGATCTGTTAAAGAGTCAAAACGTGATGCCTTTTATCCGTAAAATTCTCCATTAAAAACAGCATTTCCTGTTCCTTAGATAAAATCAGTATTCCTTAGATGAAATCGATTGTTATTCATTTTGGATGCAAAGTTTTTTGGATTAATGTAACGAACAATATACTTTTGTTTTCAGTGCCATTCCACAGTCTCCAGACAAGAAAGGCGAGAAAAAGTTGGAGAGTGAATCGAGGACACTCCTTTCGGTTCCTCTGAGCTCTGCCCCTGCGGCCAGTAGTTCCGAATCCAACCAAATATCGGTCGTCGCATCTGCAGCCCACGAGAAACGAGTTGTCGCGGCATCGCCCTCAACTCCTAGAACCCAGTCCCAAAAACGACCGAAGAGCAGCAGTTCGGATCGAGTGACATTCACATTGTTCATAATTAGCATAGCTTTCATGTTTTGTGTGTGTCCTTTTGTGGTGGACTACAACTACAAAACCCTGACGAACCCTGAAAAGCCGAATCAGTGGGTTTCCTTTTTTATCCGACTTCTCTTCCAGATTAACTTTCTCTCCAACCCTGTCATATACTTTTCGACGAGTAAAATATTCCGGGGCCGAACTTTCGAGCTGATTGGATATGTCTCGCCGAAACTGGAAAAGTACATTCGGACTACGAAGCTTTTCAAAAACTGTCTTCCGCCCGAAGACGCCAATCCAAAACAGATTACTAACGCAACAGCTGCGCGAAGTTATGCGAACACTGAAAAAACCACATTCTAAAGTTCTTGCAGTTGCGATTAAAAAATTGAAACACTCAGAAACACAGATGTTTGTTCACTCATAGTAGATGACCATGAAAAAAAAATTTGTTTCAATTTTTATCGCATCTATGTATCGAATGCAGTAACTTAAGAAAATAACCCTTTATTATATCATAACCAATCAAATTTTTAAATTGGTTTCTGCGAACCTGAAAATCGATTGATAAAAAATCTAGAAAGTCCGCAAGTTGCAATAGTTTGTAAATTCCCCACAGTCTTTATATTTTTATTTATTTTTAGAATCGCGGCTATGATGAATTATTCGATGTTATTGTTTTTATGACAAGTTTTCCTTGTTTAGCAGATGTTTCAGTTACATAGGTTATTTTTTACCGTTGAGTGCTAGTAGATAAGCAGCAGCTATTTTATTTTCCCCTCAAAATTGAAGGCGCATATGAAAAATTAAAATTCAGAAGGATGGTAGATAAATTATTCATGATTACATGATTGGCAAACGCAGATGATCAGCTAATCGATAAATAGAGAACTTCGCTTTCTTTTCTAAATCTCATATGCATATTGTATTTTTCTTATCAAATCAATTAATTGTATTTACTCTCTTTAACTCAGAAATTTACATTATTCCAAGTTTTTTTAATACATTTATAAAACGGACGCTTGTCACACTGATGAAATTTCGATTTTCTAATAGACCCGGAAGAAAAACTTGAATATAGTTTAACTGATATCTGATACTGATGATTAAAAAAAGAACAGGCATTTTAGAGGAACAGATAACGAAAATGCCTGAAACAGACCCAGAGTAAAAAATAAGAGCATTAAGTAATTTAACCTCTGTGTGAAAAAAGCAGACCAAAAAATACTTGATCAAATTTTTCGCCAACTAAAATTCTTGTGTAGAGTTCATAAGAAAGAAACGAATTAATACTACTCGGCGTGTTTCAACTTAACTCTTGAATTTTTTTAAACTGCGATCCCGTGAATTACCGGGGCTTATGTGGCAAATTGGTCCAATTAAGATAACAAATGCACCTGAAAGAAACCGGTCGTCCAAGTCAAATAGAATCTAATCCGATTATCATTGAAAAAATGTTTACTATTTTTTCTACATAAATTTCTTTTTCATCGGTGAAGGTATACAATTGTCGAAACGGTTCCCCCCTTTTTAACTTTAAACAACTTAACACCCTACAATTTCACTCCCTATTTTTGTTGCCTTAGCAATTTAACATCGCTACATTTTAAAACAATTTCTTTGATTTAACACCATTTTAATCCAAAATGGAAAGAAAACTTACTTCAAAGGGGATTTCGGTAGTCATCAAAGAATTAAACGAGAAAATTTTTATCATTTAAAGCCAGACAATTTCGGGCTACCTAATTTGCGTAAGTTTTGAGCAGAAATGACCTTGCAAATGATTTCAATGAAACGTTTCAAACCAAAATAAAATGGCCTTGCCAATATTTTCAAAGAATCATTCCAAAGTGAACTAAAAACAAGCAATAGTTCAATGAACTTCAAAAGCCCGCAAATTATCAGACGTCCTTTGACTAAAATGGCCTAATTTTTGAGACATTTTCATTGGTATAGAATATTTAAAAAAGTTGAACTAATGCCAAAAGCCTAAAAATCAATATTTTTTAGAATCATCCTCGAACTTAAACTTATGACCTGATCGCTTTGTCAGCTTTTTTAAAATTGTTGGCACATAAACGCAAAGCTTAAGGGTTTGCCAGCCCGTAGTCCCAACCTAGCATCCCGAAATTAAGGGCAATTGTCCTGGGATTAAATTGCTAAAGCACGAGTCAAGTTCTTGCGTTTAGTTACGTTTCCGGGAGTCTACAAGGAAACGTCTTTTCAAAAAAAGCTGACAAAAATTTCAGTAGGAGTAAAGTTTGATTTTTAATAACACGAAAGAAAAAAAAATACGAGACAAAATGTTACAATGGTGTAACACAAGCTAGACAACGCTCTGAAAAAGTACAGATCAGTTTTGTCTTCGTAAACGGTTATTATGTTTTGTACTCTTTCATTTAATACTCGATAATTTTTCTTATTTGTGAATTTATGGCCACTCGATGCATCAAAAAAGTTGAGTTTTTGTACGGAAGCGTCTTCTTGCAGACTGCCCACTACCTTGCACATAAATAGGATTGAATCCCAAAATACCATCCGTCGACAGCATTTGTTGTTCGAGCCATCCCACCTCCGGCCGCATCTCGCTGGTTCCAAAGGAAGGGTGGGAATAAAACTTCACGGTTTGGCACCAAGCTTTTTATATAAGTAAAGCCAAATTACAGAGACAACTCGTAACTTTTCTCAATTTTCTCGGGTTCTAAACAATTTCTACCGCATTCATTCTGAATTTTCTAACGATCATGTCATAGGAATCAAGTCATAGGAATGCATTTTTTTTCGAATGCAAGGGATGGCCACATTTTTAAAGCCAGCGCTAAATCATGATTCGTTTCCTAGGTCACTTTCTGACCCAAATCAATAATTTTTCTCATGTAACTCTGGGAGAGATGGAAAAAACAACCCGATAAATGAGCTTCGGGGAATGTTTTTTGGAAGTTGGAAGGACTGGAGAGCAGCTTGCTCAAAATCTAACAGCTTAATTTTTGTTTGACCGAGCACGATCTAAACCAGGGGCCGATCTAAGATTATCTCGAGGAGGGATTTTAAAAATAAATTCCAAAACTTTGTCCACTTTGTTTAGGTCGACAAAATTGTTTTTCCGAGATATCTCAGAGCGCTAAAACGAAACTGTTTTGGTCAAATTTTCTGCGTCGTAGGCTGTAGCGAACTAAGGGGGCGGGGGGAGGTTGGGGGGTTGGCTAACGCCTTCCTTTAGGGGATTCGACCCCCTGCCGACCCAAAGGGTCCCCCTTTTGTACTATACTGAAAAGTCAATATTTGGTGACGGACCCTAACAATTTTCTAAGGACGCCTACGGCGGCAATTTATATTAGTTTTGAAAGGGGAGCGCGCGCCGACTTTTTCGTCGAAAAGTTCCAAAAAATGCCTAAAAACGCCTTTTTTAACCTTTTTTCAAAAACTTGCCTGCGGCGCAAAGAATTTTGTTAAACTAGGGTCTTTATGGTTGTTTGGGAGAGCTCAGAAAAACATTTTGGTTGACATAAAAGAAAGTTCAACAAAATATTCAAAACTTTTTTTCGAAAATCCGTCCCGTCCCCCCCCTCTCGAACGAGATAATCCTAAATCCGCGCGCGCCTGGCTGCAGGCAATTGTAAGCACTTTTTGGAAAACTGTGACCGAAAAATTGCGTTTTTTTGACGTGCGCTCCCCCCTTCAAAACTTGTATATATTGGCGCCAAAGGCGCCCTTATAAAATTTTTAGCGTTCGTATCCATATATGGATATCCCAAAATGGTACAAAGGGGGGAAAGGGGGGGACACCATTTGGGTCTGCGGGGGACCAAAACCCTGAAGGAAAAAAAGCGTCAAACCCCGCCCACTCCTCGCCCCCTAAATACGCCGTTGATTGAAACATATAACTGAAAGTAACTAAATTTTCAATTTTTAGCTTTAGTAGATATGTTTTTCTTTTACTCTTTTTCTTTAATTTTACAATATTCCAGCTAGTTTGAACATATTCTTTGCTTTTGTTCTTTTTGTAAGGTTGGGTTTCAGGCGATGACTCCCTAAGTTCCCGTTAGCCGTTTTTCTATTGCCATATTGGACGGGAACCAAATCTTTTGTCAGAAGAGTGCCACTCGCATATTTAACATCTGTGCCTCAGGTGCTGATGTAATTATATCATTAATTCAATCTGAATGGCTCGAAACGTATCAATTTTTAATTCCTCGCTTCTGAAATAATGTTTATAATTCAGAACAATTCCTATGAATCAGAAAGTAAAAGTCTATTTGTTTTGAGCGTGAAGAACAGATTATTTTTCTGGAATGCAAAGAACATTTTTTTTTTAGTTTTGTTTTTGAAAGGGTTCGAAAAACAGCTTTTTTTCAAACAACGAGAATGTAAAGAGTGATATTCAATAATACAATAATCCTTCAGATAACCTTTTCAATGAAAGTTACTAATTTTCATCAGCCTTATATTTAGTAATTTGTAATTACAAAACTCATAGACCGACAAAATTTGTTGAATCAATTAAAGGTGTACAGATTACACACGGTGCTACAAAAAGAAAAAAACTTTGTAAAATTTTTTTCTTCAAAATCAAAAAAGGTTTGAAAGACGAACTCCTACAAGAAACACGAATAAGAACAACGTATTCAAACAAGGCTCTAATTCTGGAGGTGCGATAACAGAAGAGCTGAATTTTGTGAACAGAATGGAGCAGTTTGCAAACAGTTTTGCTTTGATTTGCTGTTTTTGTAGTAATTTTTGTTGAAAGTGAGTTGAAAATAATAAAGTTGAGTCTTTTCGAAATTCAACCTCAGTCTCTTTATGATTTATTAAAACAGAATCATTTTAGAGTTTGTCACCAAAGTTAGATATCTAAAAAAATTACAAAGGGGGGAGCCTTTGGGTCGGCAGGGTACCAAATCCCAGAGAGAAGAGGAGCGCGCATTCCCTTGCCCCCCTTTATCCGCCGCTGATAGCAAAGTATAACTAAAAGTAACTAAATTTTTAGTTTTAGTTTTCCTTAGTAACGTTTTTCTTTCACTCTTTTTCTTAAATTTCACAATATTCCGGCTGAACTGAACAGATTTCTTTGCTTTTGCTGAAGTTGGGTCTCAGGCGTTGAGTCTCTAAGTTCCCGTTAGCCGTTTTCTTATTGCCATATTCGACGGGGAACCAAATCTTTGGTCCGAGGAGTGCCAGTCGCATATTTAAGATCTGTACCTCAGGTGCTGATGTAATTATATGATTAATTCAATCTGAATGGCTTGAAACGTATCAATTTTTATTTCCTCGCTTCTGAAATAATGTTTAGAACTCAGAACAATTCCTACGAATCAGAAAGTAAAAGTCTATTTGTTTTGAGCGTGAAGAACAGATTTATTTTTCTGGAATGAAAAGAACATTTATTTTTTTAGTTTTGTTTTTGAAAGGGTTCAAAAAGCAGCTTTTTTTTCATACAACGAGAATGTAAAGAGTGATATTCAATAATACAATAATCCTTCAGATAACCTTTTCAATGAAAGTTACTAATTTTCATCAGCCTTATATTCAGTAATTTGTAATTACAAAACTCATAGACCGACAATATTTGTTGAATCAATTAAATGTGTACAGATTACACACGGTGCTACAAAAAGAAAAAACTTTGATATATTTTTTTCTTCAAAATCAAAAAAGGTTTGAAAGATGAACTACTACAAGAAACACAAATAAGAACAACGTATTCAAACAAGGCTCCAATTCTGGAGGTGCGATAACAGAAGAGCTGATTTTTGTGAACAGAATGGCGCAGTTTGCAAACAGTTTTGCTTTGATTTGCTGTTTTTGTAGTAGTTTTTGTTGAAAGTGAGTTGAAAATAATAAAGTTGAGTCTTTTCGAAATTCAACCTCAGTCTCTTTATGATTTATTAAAACAGAATCATTTTAGAGTTTGTCACCAAAGTTAGATATCTAAAAAAATTACAAAGGGGGGAGCCTTTGGGTCGGCAGGGTACCAAATCCCAGAGAGAAGAGGAGCGCGCATT